TTCTTTTTTACCTAATATTATAATTATGGGAAGATGTGATCTTTGTTTACTTTAAAAAACTTACGTAGCTTCCAGCAAGATTTCCAAGACTTGCTATCAAATGGCTATTTTTGAAACACCTTGTACGTGCAAGCCCTTTTTTTATTCCAGTTAACTCCAACTTTTCATGGCTCCCAGGATAAAGGAGGAAACTTCTTTTCCACCATAAAAAAAAACAAAACTACACTGTCTATGTCAAAGGGTGTATGTAATATCATTAAGCAAGTACAGTGCCTGGAATATATTATGTGCTTTCTACACGTTTGTGGAATGAATTTCTCTGCTGGTTTCTTCTTATCTCCTGTCTTTCATGGGTCAAGACTTACCCACTAAGACTTTAACTCCCCAGTATTTCACATGTTTGTAGAAAGAATGAAAAATATAGGCCTGATTTGGGCGTCTACAGTAACTCTCTATCATGAAAAATAACTTTTAGTAATCCTATGCTTATTAAATGAGAAAATAATGTGAAACTTAAAAAAAAAATTTTATGCTGTCATTTTTAAGGAATGGCAGGAGTGGATGGTAGCAATACCCAGTGAAACTAACCTTCTAAAAGAGGAAGCACATATGCTCCACATTCCCTTACAGGGCTGGAAGAAAGATAAAATTGTCAACGGATTAGCCTTAATTCTCTTTACCACAACAGATGACAGTACTTTGTTCAGAACAGTTGCTGAGAAAGGGCACTCAGTCAGGACGAACACAAGGGAGTCAAAGGGAAAGTAGTAACTCAGTTGCTAAACAGGAAAAGTGACAGCTGATGATGACACCCTTCCATGTCTCATCAAGCAATGATAAGTCGACACTAAATTTTCAGCTGAAAGGCGAATTGTCTACAAATGTGGTGGCATGGCTGCAGCATGTTCCCAGTCACCCCTGACTACCTGTTTTTTGGGTTTACTTTATTTAGGCCACCTTCAGTGTCCAGAATGTTTAACAATTGGGTTCAAATCCAAGTACTTCTGTCTTTTTTTTTCTGGAAAAATGGATCGGGCTGGAAGGTAGCAGCTAAATAAATATTTGGAGTTGATGAAAGAGTGGTCAGTAGATGA